GACACTACTGGCCAACACTGATTATATGCAATTTAAATTAAATTACATTAAAAAAATAAGTAATACTGTACTAAATTGCAGGAATTTTTTCTAATTACAGTATCTAGTTACTAATTATACCCAGATTCTGACCTATTACTGTTTTTGATAGAACTGTGTCATTGTTGGATTTCTTCATTTATATTTAAGTCAAACTGCACCAGAGCTAGTTTTAATCAAACACAAAACAGATCCAAATAAAGTGAACAAAATCCAGTTATATCCTATCATAGTTTATAAGCCTCATAAAGCTTTCTGCTTTCAGGTGCTGAGAAGTGGGAAAAGCTTTGCATTCCAAGGATAACAGCTCTATCTGCTCCTCCTGGCAGCCTTAAAGTCCCCTGGCATATTGCTTAGATGCCATCTGAAAACATAATTGCCTTCAATATTGAAGAACAGAACCGTGTAAAATAAGATTCCATGAATGCTTGATTCTTCAGAGCGTTTGCAGGAACGGCCTCTATTCCTTTGCCAGTCTCTCGTTACATCTTCATTTTGGCCACCTCATAAAATCAACCTCATAAATATTTTTCATGCGTTATATAAACCAACTCAACTCCCAACTGCAAGTGGCCGAGCGCTGTGTTTTTTCGAAAAACACAACGAAACATTTGTGGAGAGGAGCTGTTATTGGAAGCATTTGGCTGTGGTGCAAAGAAAAATCACAATTAGGTGAGGGTTTCACCTTCAACTATCCCCAAGAATAACACAAACCGCCTGACTGACAAATCTGCGGTGCCTGCGTAGAATGATTATACCTCACTCCCCTCATCAAAATCCAGAATTTATGGCTACAGCAGAAAAAAAAAATCAAAGCTACCTGCTAAGAAATATGATCAGACAGTAGTCAGAACAAAACGATATGCATTTTTCCTGTTTACATGATAATGATGTAATCAAAAATAGAAATGTTTAAAAAAAAAATCCCTTTTACACTTTTAAAAATAATTCAAGAATTCACACTTAGCTCATGATTTATAAATAGCTTGTTTGGCGTGCTGTCTCAGGAGAGAGCCCTGAACTCAAGGGATCCTCTGGCCAAAGGCTCTCTCTCTTTCGCAGGGCGAGGAGAGATTGAGCTCAGGTCGATCTCAAAACTCTCCCGTAGCTGAGGCTAAGGAGAATTTCCTTAGAGTTAGACACTGAAAAAAAGATTTAGGCTTATTTTGTCTATAATATAGAGCATATCTGGAGGGTGGGGGGAAACCCGGGGAACCCACATGGAACACGGGGAGAGCATGCAAATTTTGCACAGAAATACCAGATGGCTGAGATAAAAGTAAAGTTGGTTTTATATTCGGATATTCAGATACTCTCCTTAATAATACAATTTCAGAAAAGTATTCCTTTCAAATTCTAAATAGGGAAATCATATTAGAACCAATTAGGTTCTTTCAGACAAAGTTAGTTGTCTGGTGCAGCTGGGTCAATCATGAGCATGTGCTCCTCTCGAAATTAGTTTAATATTAAACTTCCCTTCATTTAAACATCTACGAAAACAGACAAAAGCTGTATAATATATGCCAGGCCAGTATTTGGCTCGGTCACCTATAAAAGAAAATGATGATGCGATCGGTGGCCCGACAATGATGTGTATGTTACTGATCAGAGAAACTAAGCTTTTGAAAAATTCAAAACAACTGAACATTTGCAAAATTATTTACCATTCTGAAGCATTGAAACAGCACATACCTGGTGGTCAAAACCATCTAAATCCGTGCTTAATTTGTAAATGAATAGTTTCCAGAACAACACCAAGAAATACAGTACAAGTTACTGTGACCGACGTCCACCCTAAAAATTCAGTTTTCCTGGAACATGATGTCATTAAATGATGATAGCAAAACAAAAGCGCATCACCTTTCTAAATGATCTTTAATTGTTTTGTGCCATATAACGTTATGGGTCAATCATGGATAAGAACAAACAAACAGCAATAAACATAAATCTTTGGAAACATCACTCTTCAGTTTACTAACACCACTGACATTCAGTTCTCTTCCAAATGAACAAAAGATAATAAAATGACTCACTCAGTCTAATCTTCAAGAAGAGCCCACAGTAAGCTCTTCCGTCATGTTGTTGTTGATCTGACTCCAGCTTTCCTAATCCAGGGGCACAGTTCAATTTTCTTGAGATCTCATGATCAGGCTCATTTTCAAATTTAGTCGTGGTTTTAAAAAATGAAAATTTGCTTGATTGTCTTTAAGTCATTTTGAAAATAAAAATACTGTTTAGGTAGACCACTATGCCATTATTTATTTTTCACTGTTCACTGCGTGCGAAACAATCACCAACCAGTGAAAGAGATTGTAAACATGTTGTGATAACCAGCAGTGTGTTCTCTGCTGAAGATTACTTCCTGTAGTTTGTAGCAATCACCAGCTGTGTTTTCTCCATTTGGAAATCACTTCCTATTGAACTCCATGTCCCAGAAGCCTTTGCACCAATCACTTCTGCCACAGCTGACAGTCATTGGACATGCACACACATGGCTGATACTCATGATCATTGATTATTTGGACTATTTACAGTTTTTCTCAGTGGCTTTGGTGCATTTCTCAGAACACTTTATATTTGCACAACACTTACTGCATTTCTCAAAACAATTAGTATTAACTGCAAAACGTAGTTGAAAATGTGCAAAAGCGTGTCACTTGCTCAAAATGGATAGCTCATTTCTGAATAGCAAGTATTCATGTTGATGAAAGTGTCAGTGTCATCAAGATGGAAAGTCCTGACACCATTGTTTATGAACGTGATAGTCAAACGGCTTTGTCATGTTTTCGTTATGACAGTTTACTCTGTACAATCCAATGCAAAAAAAAGTCCGATTTTGGTGACACTTCTTGAAAATGCTTGCAGTTTTTCTTAGTCACTTTGGTGCGTTTCTCAAAACACTAATGGATTTCTGTACAACAGTTACTGCATTTCTCAAAACAAATATAACAAACTGCAAAACCTAGTTGATAACTTGCAAAAGCTTGTCACTTGCTCAAAATGGATAGCTCATTTCTCAAAAGCAAGTATTGATGTCGTTAGGCGAGGCAGTGGCACAGTAGGTAGTGCTGTCGCCTCACAGCTAGAAGGTTGATGGTTCGAACCTCGGCTCAGTTGACGTTTCTGTGTGGAGTTTGCATGTGCTCCCTGCCTTCGTGTGGGTTTCCTCCGGGTGCTCCGGTATCCCCCACAGTCCAAAGACATGTGGTACAGGTGAATGAAAACTACAGTAAAGTTAGGCATCACTGCATTTAGTGAGGTATCTGAGTACAAGACTGAATATGCATGTTTGACATTTTTACTATATATTCTCTTTGCAAGCATTGTGCAAAATAATAAACACACCCTTATTCACAACAAACATAAACTCCCTTTGGGTTGAGCTGTGCACAACGGTAAACAATATTGCAGGACATATTAGAACTGAACCTACAACATATACAGGTCTGTAAATCATTAATGGAATTGTTCATTTTAGAAGACATTTTCAGAAAAAAAAAACATTTATTATTTATATATATATATATATATATATATATATATATATATATATATATATATATATATATATACAATTAGCTTGACAGATTTTGACAACTTGTTCACCATTTTTGTATGTAACAACATAAGTAATGTAATGAGGACGATTAGTTTTATATTGAAAGACAATTCAGCATTAACACGTTTAGTTAATCTTGACTGACATGACACAAGCGAATAATAATGTTGTAAAACAGCAGAGAGTTGTATGAAAGCAATTGATGCATGTCCAACAGCATTTACAATTTGTTGGAAGGAATGAGAAACTGCTACTATGATGTGCTCAAATGACTAACTATTTTGAAAAATGCATCAACTGTTGTGCAGATGTAAATAGTGTTGTGAGACATGCACCGAAGCAATTGAGAATAAACTTTAAACCCCTTTGTTTCACACACACCTCTTGTTGAACTATTAAGTGAACATTACTGTGCATTTTCCTTGTCTTCTGTGTTTTTGACCCTCACTTTGATTTGTTTGTTTACGTTGTATGCTTCTCACCTTTTTGACCATCTGCCTATTATTTACTACGACTACGACTCTGGATTGCCTGTGTACATCTGTTTGCCCCTGCGTTGACCGTTGCTTGCCTGACCATTCTCTCAATAAACCTGCATTTGGATCTGCACTCTGTTCTCTGCATCAATTCACGTGACAGAAGACTCAGCCACTTCTGTGTTGTTGTATGCTGACTTTATAGTCCTTGTAATCAGTCTATGATGATCCTTCAGCTGTGAGTGTGTGCAATCAGAGGAGTCTGGAACATGTGTATGTGAGCGGTGGATGACTGGGATTTGTAGCTCATTTGCGCTCTTCAGTAACCTTTGGGTGATGTCACGAATACTACGTCCATATCTTTTACAGTCTATGATCTTTAGTCACAAAAATGGAACCAAACTGGCAAAATACACAAAAACGTTCACGTTTTTGGCAAAAAAAGTCATATAAATGCCGAGACATACAGTATAGCATCATCTATGCATCTGGAAGCGAAATCAACTAAAAATGTTGATAATAAATGTACACTCTGAAATCCCACATATTGTTTTAACAGTTGCTTTGCACAGAGATGAGAGCCTTTTTATAGGGGATTACATCAGTTACAATGTTTCAAACAAAAGTGCCTTACATGACGTGTTGTCTGAGAATCTGTCGGGGGCAAAATGCTGAATTGCAGACCACCAAATGACAGAAGAGGCCACATTCCCATAATAAAACAGATTTAAAAAGACTTTTATAAAGTCATCCTGTGCATGTAAAATGTTAATATAATGATCTCTGGACAAACATCAGATACTCCTACGAGTACCATCAGATGTCTGCCATTCTAAAAACCAAACAGTTAATAAATACAAACTCGATAGCAGAAAATTGCAGAGGCACCATTTCAATTGCTCGCAAAAAGGGGGAAAATTGCGTGTAACAGTTCACAAATCAGTTTTTATTAATTTAAACACAATCAAATAATAAATGTCAAAAACATCTGTACACATCTTTTTTTCTATTTTTTTTTTTGCAGACACAACAAACTGTGTTTCACAATGAGACCCACATAAACTGTAAATTATTTCCAGTTTGCATTATGATTGCATAATTTGTTTAAAAAAAATGCCGTGGTAAATCTAGAAAACATCTATTGTTACTGTGATCTAGCAGCAAAATGTGATTCCCCAGTAATGGGGGCGATATGGAGGGGAAGGGGTGGCGGGCGATGCAATACGAAAGGCTGAAATTGTAAATGTGCTGAGAAAAACTAGGCCAGAAAAGACGACCTCACCTGCAGGAGCCGAACATCATCATCATGTGCCGGGAGGGAAAATTAAAAACAGATCGAGTTAGCTGGGGAAATTCACAGTCGATAGCACATGTATGTTCTCAACTCCATTGCATGTGTGTGTGTGTAGGTGTGAGTGAGTAGTGGCTTTCTTAAAGTCTAAGAGCTAAAGTTTCCAGTCCACCGATACCTTAGAACTACCAATATGCATCATGAAAATTCGACTACAGCGATTTCCAAGTGGACACAATCAAAATAAAAAGACTACTTCATACAAAAATTACACTTGCTGTACAAGAGTTGCTGTTGTACAAAAGATAATAAAAGCTTATTGAAGCTTAATTCCCCATCCAGGACGCTCCGACTCGGGATAATATTAGGGAACACAGACATTTACACTCAGTTTTGAAAGCTTGACATTCAGAAGATTATTATTGTTGGTATTATTAATGTTACGCTGATTATGTTCTTCCTTGGAGTTTGAGCTACAGTCTGGACTTAAATTAATTTCCACCATTCATCAGTCTCACCACCAGAAATCTACTACACTGCAAAACAATGATTTTCTTACTTAGATTTTGTGTCTTGTTTTTAGTTCAAATTTCTAAAAATTCTTAGATCAAGAAGAATTTTCTAAACAAGCAAAACATATTGTCTTGTTTTAAGAAACAATATGCCAAAATGAAGTGAGTTTTTCCTTTAAACAAGCAAAATAATCTGCCAATGGGGTAATAAAATTATTTTTTAAAGTCAAAAGGAAAAACAAGGTTATTTTGCTTACCCCATTTGCAGATTATTTAGCATTTTTTATTAAAAACTCAAACTTAATATTAGCATATTATTTCTGAAAAAAAAATTTTTTTGTTTACCTATAAAAAGCTTCTTGATCTAAGAATATTTAGATATATGGACTTGAAAGAAAACAAAAAATCTAAGCATAAAACTTTTTTGCAGTAGGAAACAAAACATCACTAAAAAGAAAAAAAAAATGTAATTATTGACACGTGACATCCATGCTTTTGGTCATGACAAAAAATTATCACAAAAAAACAAAATCTACACATTTATTGAATGAAAACGTCAACACTTTCAAGCTTTGCGCGAGCTACTGCGCAAACGCCTTTATGTACTTAAGTACTTCCATGAAACAGCTTTCCACAGCATGTACCTTAATCAATATAGGAAGGAATAGTCCAGTGATTACAAATTTACACACACAACAGAACAAAAAAATGCCTGTACACGATTGTCTCTGCAATGTAAATAACATTTCCTTAAATTTGTAGTTTTTTTTCTTCCTTAAATTACTTAGAAAATCCATTTTTCGTGTTTCCTCCATAAACTTCTTGTTCAAGAAGTAATCAAAGTACTTGATCTGAAAAGGCACAAGTCTTTCTAAAACAAATTGCCTTTTTTTTATTAGGGCCAGTGCCACTCCACAAAGTCTCTGGGATTATAAATAAGAAGCGAAGGACATCCTGGACAATAGGGAGAGCTGGCAAAACGAGGAAAAAGAAAAGCAAGGGGCCTTGCCCGACAGTCTTTGTACCATCGTTTAAAAAAAAGACATGAAGAGACAAAACATTACACCAAGTCGCAGTGGGATCGGAGTCCTGCTGAGTTCCAAAGGCATCGGTAGCTCAGTTTTTGTCACAGGTGTGAACCCTTGCCGAGTCCCCCCGCGTAGACAGGGCTGTAAAACATTTTGATGGCTTCGGAAAAAAAAAAAAAAAAGCCAATTCACAGTAACCAGGGCCAGCAGCTGCAGTGCCATAAATTCACTCTCCTCCACTTCGAAAAAGGTTTAGGGTTAAGACGAATTGCGGCCATGTGTCAACACGCTGAGTCTCTCTCTGTATGTTTGAATGTGAACATTTTTTATTTTTTATTTTTTTTGGTCTGGTGCTATCAGAACGCAGACGCTCGGGCGACGCAGCAGGCTGATGGTGCTGGGTCTGCAGGGGCCCCTGAATGGCCCGGGGACGGAGCAACGGGGCCGTCACAGTGCTACAAATACTCCAGGTCCAGAGCGTGGTGCAGGGCCATGAGGTCAGAGTGACTAGAGATCCTCCAGAAAGGCATGTTGTGCTGGAAAGACACAGAGGGAAAGAGAGAGAGTGAAAATAAAGAAACACAAAACCTGCAATGAATACTTGACTTAGGAAAACAATCACGCCCATGAGTGCCGTCTGAACAGCCTCGATGGGCCGTAACATCACACGGGACTTGAGAAGAGGAAGTGTTTACAAACTACAAGCACCAAAGCGGCACCCGTACCTGTGAGATCATTCAGTAAATAGCATTTTAGATAGTATGAATAATAATGGCAATTTTTGAGGGGGATTTATGTTGGTTTTGTTTTCAGTTCAAATATTATCAGGCAGTGTAACCATCAACTTCTCATGTATACATTAATTTTCATTTATACATCTTTATTAATCAGGGGTCACCACAGTGGAATAAACTGCCAACCATCAAGTAAACAAAAAAAAAAAAAAAAAAAAAAAAAATAGATGACATATTTTGGTAACACTTTGGAATGATGGGCCATTGGTTAATTCATATGCTAACATTAAATAACCTTGTAAACCATTATTAACCATAGTTCAACATTAACTAATGCATGTTAACATAATGAATGTTAACATTAGTCATTGCACTGAGAGTAACATGAACTAACATTATTTACTATAACAGCATTATATATACAACAATAAATACAATAAAAAATGTATTACTAACAGTTTGTTCTTGTTAGTAAATACATTAACTAATGGATTATTATTTTAAATTATTTTAAAGTGTTACTCACATGGTACATACACCTTAAATGAAGAAGTAAATGAATGAAGAAGTACCTTAAATAAATGAAGAAGTATTTTTTTTTTAGCATAAACATCACTTTTTTTTTAAAGAAATATCATGAATCAATATTATTCGTTCCTAATTCTTATTACATTTTTTTTTGTAAGTCTCATTATACTTTTGCAACCTGAACTAATCTTGCTTGGTCAAAGGTCAAATTAGATATTTTAAGAAACTTATGTACCTTGACACAGTCATAATGGTCTGCAGGGGTCCCTTTTATAGCATCATTTCCTGTTTTAGCTGTTTTTTTTTCTTGTAAGTTTCTACCTGATAATTGGCAAATAAATGCTCCAATATTAATAAATACATATTTGTTTAATAAATATTTATACATTTGAATAAATTTTAATGAAGTTAAAAAACATATACAATAAAAATAGGACACATAAAACAAGTAAGAACCATCATGAAATAAATCATAGGATTTTATGACTTCTTAGGAAAAAGGAACACCTGGTGGGAAATAACTGTTGACCGCACTATATATACTGCGAGGGGAAAATAAATGAAAATATCACAGACTACCTGAAAACTGCTCTGCATTTACTGAGTTTATTAGGTAAAGTTGTAAGTAAAATGTTGAAAATGTATTTATTATTTTATTTCAAATAAAATTATTTATTTATTTATTTATTTATTTATTTATTTGTTTGTTTGTTTATTTGTTTTTTATTTATTTATTCATTCATTTAAATTATACTTGGTCAGAAAAATAAAAAAAATAAAATATTACAATTGATATATTAGAATTGTGTTATTATAAAAACCTCAAATAATACAATACATACTTTTACATTACTAAGAAGACATACTTTCATATTACTAATGAAACAGTGTTTTATTTTTGTGATTATACAGTTAAAGTTAGAATTATTAGACCCTTTTTTTTCTTTTTAAAATATTTTCCAAATTATGTTTAACAGGACAAGGTAATTCTCACAGTATGTCTATATATATATATATATATATATATATATATATATATATATATATATATATATATATATATATATATATATATTTTTTTTTTTTTTTTCATTTGTAGAATGTCTTGTTTTATTAGTCTTGTTGTTTTATTTTTGATAGAATGAAAGCATTTTTACATAAAAAAAAAAAAAAACATTTTAAGGTCAAAATAAATTATTAGCCATCATTATACAATAACTTGCCTAATTACTCTCACCTGCCTAGTTAACCTAATTAACCCAGTTAAGCCTTTAAATGTCACTTTAAGCTGTATAGAAGTGTCTTGAAAATATATATAGTCAAATATTATTTACTGTCATCATGGCAAAGATAAAATAATTCAGTTATTAGAAATTGTTAAAAATAATATAAAAATATAATTATATAAAAATATATAAAAATCTTCTCTCTGTTAAACGTATTTTTGGGAAAAAAATAATCAGGGGGGCTAATAATTCTGACTCAATTGTATATATATTTTTTCCACCACTGCATATTTTTCATGTTTTTTTTTTTACTTCTAAAGTAAAAATATTAGTTTTAAAATGCATATAAACATGACTGAAAACACAACACCTTTTTGTTATGGTGTGCAACATTAAACAATTGTTAACATACCAATTTTTTCATTCGTAATTCAGAATAAATGTCATAAGAGAAAACCCATCATCAACTCCAGGAAAAAAACAAAAAACAAAAACCAGACTTTTCAAGTGGTCTTTTCATTTTTCCCCTAGCTGTACAGCACCTCTGGATAAACATATCCGGACACAACATTGCAAATGAGACATTGTTCCTGAGAGAGGCCACGGGGAAATATGATTCTGCCAGAATGAAAGAAGCTTGTCAGCTCCGAGTCATCCACACACAAACCATTACTGAGTCTTATCAAAGGTATAGCCTCTCTCAGGCATATGTTCCGCTTAGAGAAGCTTGCACTGACCCTTAAAAGACTCTTTTCTTTTGTTTTGTAAATTGTCTTTGCTTTTAACTTTAAAAGCCAGAGATGGTATCTCTGTTTGCCTCGGTCGAGTTATTAAGTAGAGGGGAATTGTTTCTGGGATAGGATAGAAAAAATAAAGTATACAAAGGTTTGACTTTGCTTTGGTGGTTTAATACAAAGTCACCCTTGACACTAGCGTTGTATCTGACAAAACTGTGGCATTTTGTATCAAGCTGGCTTTCTTAACCGCCAAGGACTTATTAAAATCCTCTGTGCTACAAGTACATCTAAACCATTTGTGGCGGAGGAAATGGGGACTGACAAGTAGAACTTAAACTTCCCATGTACACATTCCTTGCATGATTAATTGACAACATGGAACTAATCAGTTGGCACAGTATAATAAAGAATCAAATCAACGCTGTTTTAACCTGTCTGAACAACAGCCTGCTTTGAAAATCAATTACATACTGCATAATTTCAGCTTCTGAGGTGGTTTATATACATTAAGAAAAAAAGTTGGCAGACATTCCGAATACACTGGTGGCAGGTAACATAAATATTCTAGTTTGAACAACAGGAAAGGAGGAAAACAACTCTCCCGCTGCAAAAAATGCATTGCAATGGGGTATGTAAAATAATCTTGCTTTGGGTTTGACTTAAGATTACTTTGCTTACCCCACTGGCAGATTATTTAGCTTGTTTTAATTAAAAACCTACTTAATTTATACTTATTATTTCTGAAAACAAAATGATATTTTTTACCTGTAATATTTAAAATTAATATTACTATTTAGCTTTTTGATTTAAGAATTCGTAGATATATGGACTAAAAATAAGACAATTTATTTATTTATTGTCTGCTCTTCTGACAGTCCTAATGTTCTTCTGAATATCCTCAATGGGCTATATGCACATGGACCTTTAATTTTCAAACAGGCAGCCCAAGGGGCTCCGGTCAACTGTCTTTCAATTACAAAACTGTCATGTTTAAGATCTGATTTCTTTATAACCAGAGATCTTCACTGGCTGTTATACGAAATGAAGAAGGTCTCAGATCTGACAAGAAATACTGCATTAAATTGCAATTCCTGCCATGTCTTTAAAATATGACAGTTTATTTTACCCCAGTATTTTCAATGGAATTTCTGCACTAGCCTGTTGCTATTGACGATCTTTCATCTCGTTTTACGTTTGATCAACTAATTAAGTGCTTTATTTAACTGAATGTATTGTAATTGCATTACAACATCAATGCTGTAAAAACAACCTTGTGAAATTGAAAATAGTCTCATTAGGCTTTCACTGTAGGTTAATCGTTGGCTTCAAAACTCTAGCTGTGATCTAACAATGATTTAAACCTCTTAAACGCATGTTGTATTCATGACTGCTTCTGTTCTATTCATGCCTGAGAGGACTTGTCTAGCATTACCAATGGGACAGTCTCACAATGTATGTCATCTCGGCCTACTTTACATTTGAGCTATCAAGGAAATTACCATAACAACAAACATTGATTACAATGTTGAATTACTGTTTCTACATTTTCAGAGAACGGACTTAAAGGTGAGAAAGTGGGGAAAGTGAGGAAAATGCTGTTAGTCTGAAAGCACTGAAAGCCAATAACGCACCCAACAAATCAGTATCTAAAGCTACGCTTCCTGAATGCATGAACTACATAACGTTACTACAATATGTAACGTAACATTTACCAGAGAGAAAACTTTATAGTGCAGTTAATAACTACAAAATCAAACTTATAAAAAAAAAAAAAAAAGAATGTAGAGTGTTTTTTTCCAGCCATGCTCTTTCCAAACTGTGATTGAGCTATAATGCTTTATGCGCAAACAAGATGCGCAGAGGTATGCAATTACATATTTTGACAGGCAGGTTGAACAACTGATCATTACGCTTGGACTGAACGTTTTGATTAGACAAACTTTTCCTGGTCCTATACCTTCCACAGAATCTTAAAATACATCTGACCACTTAAGTTAATGGCTGCCATCAGGATGTGAAGATAAGTTCAACCAGTATAAAATGTTTCTGAAGACAATCAAACTGTACTTTAAATAAATAAATAAATAAATAAAGTTTTTCTTAGAGGTTTTGTCTTGTTTTTAGAAAGAAGCATTTTTAGACGAGTAAAAATGTTTTGTGTTCAGAAATAATAAGTCAGAAATGAAGTTAATTTTGCTTACCTCCACTGGCAGATAATTTAGCTTGTTTAATGGATAACCCCACTTAATTTTGACTTCTTTCTCAAACAAAGTAACACTTGCTACGTGTCTAGAAAATGCTTCTTGATTTTAGAAATGTCAGATATTTGGACTTGAAACAAGTTAAAAACTAAGTAATTAAAGCATTTTTTTTTGCAATGCACCCACTGCACCTTTTAGAAACTGAACGTTTAACGGAAATGGAGCATAAAGATTTTAGTTGACCTCATACCTTTTTCGAGCCTTGCTCCTCCTCCACACCGTCCCCCACCACCACATAAACAACTTTTCTCCCAAACCTCTGGATTACTCTCTCGAAGCAGCTCTCTTTTCCTGCGGAGAGAAGAAACAGGTTTAGTTTGCTGTGGAAAGCAAAGGAAGCCACATCCAAGACCAAGTCCCGGTGAGGAGCTCTTTAAATACCCAATAAGTTACACAAAATTACGCAGTGTAAACACTTTGCCTTGGCTTGGAGATTCGATAAGATCGATGCCCAGATAAAAGCAGCCTGAGAAGCATTAAGTGTGTCTTATTCCTCCCAGAACATGGGACAAATGGAGTTTAACAAGCTAAATCAACCTCACATGCAAATTCCACAGCGAGAGAGGCGCAAACTAAAGTATGAAAGTAAAGGTTGGTGTTTATTTTGCATTCGAAAAAGTGGAGAGACTCGAAAGAAGAGAAAAAAATGTCAAAGTGGAATGACATAAATTTGCCGAAGTGGTTTCATATGTAGACCTGAAAAGGAGAGGCCCGGTTGAGGCTGAGCTCCAAGAAAATAATCCCAGCCTGATTAGACCTCTTCCTGAACATCAACCCTCTCGTGTGTCCGCCACTTCTGCAGCCTAACCCAATCACACGCCATGTGTCTCTTGATGTTTACATGTAACATCGCTGTAATTACGGCCACACTCCAATCGAGTCCATTCATGGACACAGGTAGATCAGTACTGAGGTCACACTTACCTATTTTAGTGGCGCTATAAATGTTTTCAATTGGAAATACTACTCCCAGTCCGTACAGGAGGACCTTGGCGAGGGCAGGTATGAGCTGTGTTGTGGTCACTAAGATGTTCACACAGTTTGATCTGTAATTGAAAGGGAAATTATGTGAAGTTAAGGGAGGACAAGCTTAAAGATGAATCAATAAAGGGATGGTTTACTTAACAATGGAAAACACCTCATCATTTATTCTCTCTCATGTGAGTTTCTTTCTTCTAAGGAACATAAAAGAAGATATGCTGTTCAATGCTGGGTGCTGGGACTCATTGACTTCCAATAGTAGAAAAAACAAACAATATTGAACTCGATGAGTCCCAGCAACCAGAATTGTTCAAAATATCTTCCCTTGTGTTTAACCAAAGATTAAAGTAGGTGAGTAAATGATGACATATATTTTATTTTGGTGAATTTTCCCTTAAACCATTCACAAAATAATTGGTGGCTAAAAATGCTGTTTCTTAAAATAATAATCATCCTTAAGGGCACTGGAGTATGAAGCGCACCATTATTCATGCCTCTCGCTGATTTATGTGTATCACTGATGGGCTCTATATAATTTGCTTGTGCTAAGGCCTACCTTGAGTGGATTAATGTTAGTGCTTTCAGTGCCAGTGTTAACCAGGAGTCAGTCAGGGCTTCAATTTCTGCTCGCAATTGCAACCAGGCTTCCCTTTTGGCCGGGCCAAGCAGACCTGAAATGAACAGAAACATTGTTTGAGTTGGACCGTCCCGCAAATACTTTAAGAAATTTCGAAATTTACTCAGACCAAGTGGTTTCTACATAAGGGATTATTTGAGAAACCTATGAGTGCTTTTGTTGACACGCCACCCCTCTTCCCTAGCAATTTTAGCAAAGCAGTTTATTGGGGGATTACCTCCGACGTTATTTTTATAGGTGGTGTAAATTTCTTTTACTCGTCTGTAGCGGAACGCGAGCTTTCTCATCCAGTCCACGCCTCCTCGTACGCCGGTGGCCAGACACAGGTTGGCACTGGTGGCAGCAGCGTGGAATCCGTCTGTGCTAAAATTGTATGTGCTAAACAGAGAGGAGAGAAAGAGACAATGAGTTTGACTTCGGTCAAAGTGAACTGTGAAATGGCTAATACTGTGCTAAGTGTACCTTAAATCCTGCCCATTGTCATCCGACGACACATCGTCAATATGGACTTGATCGCATTCCTGAAAACAAGCAGAAACAACACGATGAGCTGATTGGATTATTAAAACATAGTGATTTAGTGAATGGTGTTCATGTGCAGAACTTTGTGAGATTTGGCAGCTTGAATCCATGAAGTGAATAATGTCAACAACTGAGGAATTCCCAACTGAAGGCTAAGCTCAAATCAACCCTCAACCACTTCCAGCCTGTAACCCCCCACCTGCTAAATCTTAATAAAAATAAACACCATCATCAGGGGACCGGGGTCCAACCCATTTGGCCACTACCACTAGGGGGATCTCTCGATATACACATCTGCTGGTACGCAGACTCAGTTGGGATGGGACCGGGACTCTCAGGAGGTGAAAGTGGCCTCTTGGTGTTAGATGTGCTAGTCCAGAGAACGGTGCCTGAACAAAGAGATAGCTGTGGGATAATGAGAGCGTCTGTGCCCCCTTCAGGGTCTCCACTTCTTGGAGAGGCTGAATGATTCTGCAGCTCAGAGCTGATTCAGCCAGTGTACACAGTAACACAAACCAGACTTTCTGGTAAATGTAACGTACTAGAAAAATTGAACCTGATGCTAACCGCCAATGAAATTATGACCTCTGATTGCTGCCGAGCCACACACCAACACAGCCCGAGGCCAGCTTTTCGGAGAAAGCAGACTGAAAATCTGTTATTAGTTTTCCATTTATAGTCCTCTCTCTCTCCCCCTCCCCACACAAACGCTCTGGATGTTAGTGAGCAGGACCTGAGCATGCAAATCAAACACAAAATCTCATGGAAACATGGAATGTGTAGGAATGTCCGAAAATCATATGAAAACTGAAATTATTTATTTACAGTGCTCAGCATATATAAATACACCCCAAGCAAATTTATCTTTTAAATTCATTTTTTTTTGCTTGGAAGATGTACACAATATTATATTTGTGCATATACATAAGATTAGTCAGTACTGAAGGCAAGTCTGAAGCTTATATAATAAAAAAAAAAACTATATATATATATATATATTTTAGAAAAATATTAAATGCAAATTTAAAAAAGAGGAAAAATCAAGAGAAGCAAAACAATTGAATACTTTTGTTGAAGTTTTGTAGATTATATATTTTTTGCAATATTTTACTTGAATTGAATTGTATTATCTTTCAATATGTAAATATGTTTAGTGACTAAAATATTATTTTAATAAATATGTCTGTTTAATAAATCTGTATTGTTTAAATGCACCAAAATACATTGCCTATATCCACAGAGAAATGGATATTCATTTTCAAAATGGGGTATATATATATATATATATATATATATATATATATATATATATATTCTTTAGAATATTTTCTTTTGTGTTTAACAGAACAAAGAAACTCAGTAAATAAATTAATGATGAAACAATAAATTTTTTTGCTGACCTATCCTGAACTACAAACACTAATAAATTAAGTAAACTGCAGTAGATGTAAACTGATATTACCAACTTCTTTATTCTTATTTAACTCTCCTGTTGATCAAAAAATGACCAGTGAACATTTAACAGCAGAAAACAAAGCTAAAATATGCTTTTTAATCTTGAAGTTTGGTTATTTTTTACTAAAATAGCCCAACTTTAGAAAAAAAAAATTCTATTTTCATAAAGACATATAAGCACACACACAAAAAAATTAAAATAATCAAGGATATTAAGGAAGGAAGGACATTAAGTGATTGTAAACTATTTATTAGGGCTGAATCTAAGCAAACAAATTAAGTTGAACATTAATAAATTATTTAGTTTTTTAAATTCAACCATATAAATTGTTAGCGACAATTTTGCATTCATATATATAAACACATTCACAAACACATAATCACACGCACACACAAATACAACAATACCGATACTTTGAGCATTAGAAATTGTACTAATGCTTGTTAGCAAAGAAACATGGGTGTCCACGTATTAAACATTGATAAAATACTGCACACTGACAAGGGGAAACCAAGACATTTACAGTTTGTGAGGAACATTAAGGTTGTTTCTTCATGCAAAATAGATTTGAGGATTGAAATAAAATTCGGCTACTTTATTTTAGAGGTTTAGTGCAGGCATGCACTAATGCATCATTGACCTTCAGAACAAAAGAAATTTAGTGTAAAACTTAAACGTGTTCAACTTTAATCTTACAATTTACTTGGTAATCGAATATTAGAAGGCGTAATTTCTTTTAGCCATTATTTAGAATTTCCTCTCCACAGCTTTAATCCTTTTAATTAAGTTTCAACAGGCTGCTAAGACACAAAAATACCATCAAAAAAAGGACTTCCTTGTTTTAACTCGATCTGAACCTGGCCAAATGCTGACGTTATTGCATTCCTGCCTAATGCTACAGCAGGGTAGGGGTAAGCGCTTCAGACCGTAAACCTTTTTTATTTTACTGGTTCCCCTCTGAACAAATTTTTCATCTCTCTGGATTTGTGGGGAGAGGGAGGGGAGAGCGACGTGAAGAGAAACTCAAACCAGCTGTTCTTTAACAGAATTAAAATCTTGACCCCCAACCCTTGCTCTAATGCAGCCATTCTCTCGCCAAGCCTCTCCCAGCAAGCCCCGAGATCCAAAGAGGAAAAGACTTTGACCCTGTGCCCTGCTCCTCCTCTCCAGGGCTCCACAGGCCCAGATAAGGGGGAGGACGGCTGGAAGTTTGTGTGAGGGGGGGTGAGATGGGGTGACCTCACATGGAGAACTCCGAGTGTTACGGGGCCAAAAGATGGACTGCCAATTGCAGCCGCGACTCAGGAACACCTCCAGCTATTTGTGTAATCTGTTTCTAGATAGTCAGCAGTGGATCTGTAATACTTCTGAAGCACCAATTTGTTTCCCGAAGAGGACCTTTGGACAGGCCAAAATCATTACAGAAAGCCGGGGCCTCCGTCAAAACGCTTAATCCTGAGTATTAACTGTTATGATGACAAATGCGCCGTTTCGGATAAATAAAACATGGAGCATCTGAAAGATTTCCAACCAAAGTACAATGTAAGGGGCCGTTTGGTCAAAGTGTGGTTTTGCTTTGAAAAACTGAGATGCAGAAAGTTAGATGGGGTAAAAAAAATGCATGCATTTTTAGAACGTTGTGTCATGGACAAGTATAACCGTCAAACATGTCAGCTTAAAACACATTTACATAGATAAACAAGTGTATATATACATATGTCATGACAGTCTGGAGTATATGTAAACATGACAGACTTTAATATGTTCCAGTCAAAGCAGGCCCTGAAAACAGTGATTTGGTAACATTGTTGGTAACATTTGAAGGGTTGTTCATAAAACTGTCATGACATTTTTATAATCATGACTTAACAAAAATCAAGAATATGGAGATTTTATGCATGATTATGACAACTGTCAATAAGTGTCATTAGCTCAGTTATGGAATTTTAAATGCAAAGGTGACATTGTTTGAGAATTCTTTGATAAGTCAACTTGACAATTAAGACAACATACAGTAACTTGTCATAAATCTGTCATAAACATGGTGGTCATAAGACAATAATAATTGTGCCATAAATGTTTTCTGATCATTTTCTAAATTAATTTGTCATTAAACATTCTTAGTTAAAAGTGTCAATACAGTACTGCTTCCCATAGGTTTAAAATATATGTGTGGTGGTAGCTGTATTGAAACACACCTTTTACCCACAGCACACGGTTTCCTACACAAATATATACACACACAGAAAATCAGAAATAAATTACATAAAAGAATAAAAACATGTATGAAATAAAAATATTAAAAGTATAAAAATTACAAGAATAAAAAGTATAGATTATTTAAATAAGGCAGACGAGTTAATCAACCCTTTCTAACAGTGTACAAACATTTTGTAGCCAGTTTAGAAGTAATACTGCCCTCTCTGAGTATACCCAAACATTTATCTGAGTAGAATGTCTGCTTAAAATCTGTTGATACTGCCCTTTTAATAATCACTTCAATAAAGCACTGCTAAACTGTGTCAAACAATTTTGTAACATCACCACCAATATTTAATGACTTGTTTAATTTGTACCACAGTTGAGGTCAAGAAAATATGAATTATGCTGTTATAAAATGACCTCAGGACAATCATGTTTATGACAGATTTATGACAAGGTATGTAATGGTAATGTCAAGTTTTCATGACAAAGACATCTTAAACAATGCCATCTTTGCATTTAAAATGACAATTAATGACAGTTGTCATAAGCATGTGTAAAATATTCATATTCATAAAATAGGTCATATCATGCTTACAAATGTTTCTTGTGAATCTTATAAATGCCTCGTTCAACTAAATTGTTATCAGATAGTTAAAACCTATTCTTTTAAATATAAATCCATTACTACAGGGAAGCAAGCAAGTTAAAAACACCCAATCACACAAAACTATCCAGCGAAACCGCATTCCAGCAGTTGTTCCAGTGCGTGCAGCTGGTTGAGTCTCTTAACACGTTATCATCTCCTTTCAACGACATCACCGCATGTTTACATTGCCTTTTAATTCGCTGGTTATTACGACACACAATTAACAGTCATGTTTGTGGGCTTCCAGACCTCCGGGATGAAAGTGAGGGCAGAGAAAGAATGCACAACCTCCAGCAATTACTGCTCACAGCTGGAGCCCACATAAACCACTTGACTGGCACTCTTGTAGCGGCACCCGGGCCCTAATGGAGCCGCCGGGGCCTGATGTCTTACAGTAACTCATGAGACTCATTAGAGCAGCTTCTTAAGCACTCGTAAACACCGTTAAGCCTAATGACCGAGGATGGGCCAGCTTTAAGTGCTTTAGTACAGCATGTGGTTGATTTCAAGGGTGGCTGAAGGTATCTGCAAGAAGGTGCTGCGTGGAAGGATGGGATGGTGGATGTATTGAATGAAGTCTGTGGTATTATTGAGCCAGTGGTAAAAAGTTTGTTAAGGTATTTTGGTTAATGATGTATAGGAGCATTTATGATTAAGTAAAAAAAAAAACAATTCAACACAACATCTTGAAG